GGGCACGTGCCTAGGGTGTGTATGCCCAACATAGGCTGGGGGTACGCCCAGCGTAATGAGCAGAGTGCCAAACCCTAATTTTTAGGGTTTGGGCACTATTTAAACATCTTTATGAGCTCAAGGCTCTTTCACTCTCAGCCTCCAAAGTCCTTGAGACCCATTCTCGAAAACCCTAACCCTCCCAAGAGTGTTGTGAGCTTATTTTTTGTGCTTTTAGGTGCATTTTGGTGCATGTTCTTGAAGAAGGTGATTGGTGCAAGTTTGGAGTCCAATGGAAGGATTTTAGATCCAGACTCTCTACTCCATTCTCAGCTTATTTGAGGTATAAAGATCTGAACTTGCTCTTTTGAAGTCTAGATCTATGATTTTGTAAGAATTGTCCTCTTTTAGATCTCATGGGTGGGATCTAGTGGTTGTTATCAATTCAAGAGCTTTGAGTTGCCACTCTTGGCATTTTAGAGGTTCAAGATCCTTAAAGTTTACATCTTTAGGGTTAAGAGTCATCCATGCATGTGTTAAGGTGCTTAATATGAGTCTTAATGGTTGTTTTTAGAAGTTGAGTCCCATTGAGGCATGCAAACTGATAAAGTCGCCAACTTTATCAGTTAGGGGCTTGTAATGAAGCTTCCATGAGGTTTAGATGCTTTGGGCTCAAGTGGTTAAGTCGAAAATTGAGTTTTTGGACAAGAGCAGTACGCCCCGCGTAAGGTGTAGTATGCCCCGTGTACTGAATTAAGTTCCTCGGTCAGGATTTGCATGTACGCTGAGCATACCAAGGGAGGTACGCCCCACGTAATCTTGTTGTGGGCTTTTTGGGCTAGATCTCATTTTGGGCCTTAAGTGTTTGGGTCTTGGTTTTGGGCTTGCTGTATTGGGGATTTTTGGTCAGAGGAATATATATGTCTTGGACCCTTGTGTTGGGCTTGCCATTTTGGACTTAAGTTTAGGGTTGGGCCTTGGTGGGCCCAATGGGCTTGGGTTATTTATGGGTCGGATTAGTGGACCATCTTTAGACTTAATGTGAGGGGGATTGGTCTTAGATCCTAATTGAGTTTAATTATAAATTTTGCTCAGTGTTAGGGGTAGGTGTGCAGCAGCAGCAGTTGTAGGATTTGTTCATCATCCGAGGTGAGTCTTCTCATTATACTTACCTGTGTGGCAATTTTTGTGTGGCCGGAGGGTCTTATTTGTGTTATTAACCAGAGGGTCTTATTCATGTTATTGACCGGGGGGGTCTTATTTGCTTATACTGATATATATGTGTTATTATGCATTATGTCTTTGTGACTTATGTTGTTATATTATTCTGTTATGACCAGAGGGTCCATACGTGGGCATGAGACCGAAGGGTCTTCACTAAGACACATGACCGGAGGGTCCTTATCGAGATATAGCGATGAGAGGCTAATTATTTGTGTATGTGGTATTTTGGGGGACTCACTAAGCTTCGAGCTTACCGTGTTCATTTAAATGTGTTTCGGGTACTTCTGTAGATTCTGGGAAGGCAGAGGCATGATTGTACACATTCGCCGGCTTATGAGATCTTGTGGATTTTGGGATACTCTGATATTGTTTTGATAACAACTTATAATTTATGTGATAACTTGAATTTATGAGTAATGATTGGTGAATTAAAAATGAAAAAAAATTATCTTGAAACTTGAGGCGTTTCAATAACCATTGTTGATGTCAATCGGGTAAAACTTTCGCAGTTTTTTCTGAATCTTCTTTTCTCTCGTTCCCATGGGTCGAATGAATTACCAGTCAACCCGTCGAACATTTTAGCAAACTCTTTGATTGCTTTATCGACGTTATCAGGGATCGAGTTGCCGACTTCACCGAAGAAGACCAGACGGAGGTCTGATTTTAGGGATTTAGCCGAACAAAAGCAGTGGAGGAAGGGGGTGGATCAGAATGTGAGGACTGGGTATCGAGGGATATATTCGACGGTAATAGCGATGGTGTAAGGAATCAAACACACAAGCTTTCCAAGGAATGAAGAACCATCTTATATGCAGATACGAAGATGAGATAGAACTGGGGTGATTTTAGGGATTTTTGATCGGAAGAGAGAAAGAAGATTAACAAAGATCAGTAGAGGGTTGGGTATAATTCCAAGGAACGAAGCGGTGGATACTCACACTAATCTCATTGTTATTGGTTAAACTGGCGGTGGAATCAGGTGGAGAACACGTTGTTGTTAGTGTCACCCACTCAAGTGTCCAAAATTAATGAAAAAGATATATATATATATATATTATATATATATATATATATATATATATATATATATATATATATATATATATATATATATATAAACTCACCAATAGAAACAGTGGGACTAAGTTGTGTTGCCTCAATGAGGTCTGCTACCATAAAAAATCGCTTTCATGCCCTTTCTTTTTCCCTTTTGAGAAGTGTAACATCCAAAAATTATTCGGTATGTATATAAATGCATAGAGATCTTTTGTCTATGATAATGGTCGTTCTCATAATTAAAAAAAACAACTATAGTTAACAAAGAAAGTAAAGTATGATTAACCTTTTAACTGAATGCAACATTTTAACATGCACCCAATAAATATTTTTTAAGTTAATATACACATCATCTAATCTGTAACATTTTGAAGAAAATAGAAGAGGGTATATGTGGGTCAATATATCCATTTTGTGGACCATTTAGATATTCTATGCATGATCATATTTGTGCTTAGTATCAAGTTGTAACATGGTGTTTGTGTGGTTATTTCTTCACTTGATAAGGTTACGAGCACACTTTATTAAGTACTGTTGACCATAGAAATTATAATTGATTTAATTCTAGGTTTTAAACTTTATTGAACCGAAGATTATTGTATTGCTTGTTGTAATATTTATGTGTTGCTATAATGGTATCTTGTAATCATGGTAGCAATTGCTAATGGAATGAAGTATGTTGAAGGAAGGACTTTTGATTATTTTAAAAAAAAAGTTAAATGTGAAAGTCGACACTAAAATAATAATTCATAAAAGCTATAAAGTCAAGTGATGGTGTTTATATATTTCAATCCTTAATTTTTTTTTTTTTTTTTTTGTGTCGTTTGTTTTTGTGTATGTTTGTGAAACTAGTTTGTAGTTGTTAGTGCATGAAAGCTACAATCTAACAGCTGCAACTTTTCTTTATATAAAAATGTTTGATAAGAATACTTATAAACTTTTGAAATTTTGTATTATGAGTTTTTCTTATAAAATAAATATTTTAAGTTTATATTTACAAACAATTTTTTTTTAGTTCAAAGGTTTTTTGTTTTTTGTCAAAATTTAAGTCTGATATAAAGTATAAACTATCAAAAACTTATTACATGTATGGTTCGACAGATTTTGACAGAAACTCTATTATCAAATAATTTTACGGGTCGTATAACTAAACGAGTTTCTAGCCACATAAAAGCGATAAAACATGAAAATATAGGGGTATATAGGTAATTTAACAAAAGCATCAAGATATGTGTGTAAATGGAAAAGATTCATTGAACCTGGACACCACCATTCCAACTTCCAAGCCTATAAAAACAAACACCCCAATCAAGGAAAGAACGCACCTCAACCGATTCAGTTAATTAGGCAAAATCCTTCTCTCTTTTAACCAAAAATAATGGCCCCAAGCATGGCGGATCCGTCGGTGAAAGACCACCGACCGACGAAAATGGCGGCCCAGGAGGAGTTGTTGAGGAGGAGGAACGAGGAATTGGAGAGAGAGTTGAAGAGGAGTCTGGAAAGAGAGGAGAAGATGAAAATGGAGTTGCAGAAGACGTGGGAGAGGCTGCGCGTGGCGGAGGAAGCCGAGGAACATCTTTGTTCGCAGCTAGGGGAGCTTGAAGCCGAGGCCATGGATCAAGCTTGTGCGTACAGAGAACGCCTGATGACGTTAATGCAACAGCTTTCGGCTGCTCAGAAGCTCATCGAATCGGCTTCCGTTCAGATACCATCAATGGATTTGTAAAACAGAAAAGAGGTGAATGTTTTTGACTGATGATTTTGTAAGAATATAGAGAATGTGACATGTATTAGCTATGTATGTAAATTAATCTGGAAAGGTTGTTAAACAACAAATATTGTATCTGTCATGATTGTGCATATTAATGTTTTTGATTAGATTGATTGTGAAGAACTTCCGTTTTTTCCTTTATTTTTGTTGTTTTACACATGGTGGAACGATAAAAGACGAATCGGGTTGTTTACTCATACTGAAATGTTTTTAAATTCATTTTCTCGATGTAAAAGATGTTGAAAAGAAAACGAAGAATATTCCCATTATCGACATTCAACAGTGCTTTTCTTTCCTTTAAATTAGATTAGAAAGAATATACAATTATTCACTTTTGTCGATACACCTATTTGTAAAAGAAAGAAAACTTTTGGAAACTTTTATAGTTTTATTAAAATAAAGAAGCATCTTTCTTTCTTTCTTTTTAATTTTTTACAACAGCGAAGACACAACACAACAAGATGAACATGTTTTTATGCGTTTGGGATATTAATGTTCTTTGCTAATTTACTGTTTCTTTCGTATTTAATTTCTCTATTTAATTATTGAAATTGAATGGAGTGTTTTTTTTACTGTATCAATATCCGTTTCTTCAAGATGTTAATTCACATGAATTTTTTATGTTTTGCAACAAATGAAGAAATTACTTTAATTGAATTTCTTTTCGCCTTTTTCAACCATACACACTATAGTATTTCAACTCCTTCCACTTCCAAATGCATTGAATTCATATTTCCTTCATCAATTCCAATTCCTTTCAAAACAATGTGTGAACCAAACGCCCCTAAGTGATTTGAAAATAGTAACAAAATAAGTTATCTACTCCGATCCACCCACCTTCTTTTTCATGTTTAAGATAGCCAACTTCTTTTGTCTTCAAAAAAGTGAGATTAAAGTATAGTTTTCTACTTAGACTATTTAATAAACTACCAACTTTTTCTGGTTTAACGACACCTTTAACTGTAAGTAACTACCACTTGTGTGGAAAACCAGACGTCTTCTTTACCTCGTTCTCCCTACACACCAAATAACACGTTCCACGGTCATATGGTCAAATCTCACCATAACTATTATAAATCATATGTATATAAAATATTAGATCTCAAGTACTATAAACTCCAAAAAAAACATTAGTACCTTTCAATGTGATCAAGAATGAGCAGTCTTGGTCCAGGTGGAATCCTCGCATCTTGCAGAGCACTGATTTTATATCATGAAAAATAATCATAAGAAAAATATAAAAAAAAAAACAAAAACAAAAAAAGAACTTCATTGTTGCCACTTGCCTATCAGTGAGCAAAGGCAGAGTGTTATCTGTTAGCAACCCTTTTTTAAAGTTTTTTTCATAATGCCCAAGACCAAGACTAGTCAACATGCCTCTCGTTTCATTATACAACACATCTTCCCGATTTGGCATTGAAATTTTCTCCCTTATCTGCACAACCACATACACTAATAATGTCATATCAAAACATAACAGGTTAGGTTATATACACATGCATCTCCTTAAAGAATCCACCCTGCGCAAGTGCAAAGAAAGCACCAGAAGTTATTGCAGTTGCAGCCTGATTAGAACCCCCCATACCACTAAGCAATGAGAACATCACACCAGAACCAAAACCTGCCGCCATACTGCAATTATATACATACATGAATAAGATTTTAAACCAAAAACATCACTTTTTTTTTCCTACAATTGCTAAAGAAAATTTAACCATTAATGGGTTCTCTACTATAAGCTTACCATGACTGGACATCCTCCTTGCCTCTTAATCTTCTTAAGACACAGGATATGCCTGCATTAACACCACACATAACAGCAAAATTACGAGCCTGTGCCAATGGCCATCCTGCAACAGCCTGTACATACAGTTAGGGTTTAGGGTTTCTATTTCATATTCAACAAGCAAGTACGTTCTTTCCCATTCCATACAGAGAAGTAAATCAGTAGTAATACCAAAAAGTAAAAAGGGTTTCTTATCGAATTCCCCCATATCTTAAACCCTTAAAAATAATCAAGCAAATAAACTACTGAAGATCGGTTGATGGTGAAGGAATTATGTAACCTGGGATTGCTGGAAGGAAGCTTTAGTCTGTAGAGTAAGGGAGGTGCTTGGTGGCGGAGGGGAAAAAGAGGAGGAGACATCGTTAGGAAGACTTGTTAACCCACCGATCGCCGCACCTTGGAGGGCGCTGTTGGGGTCGGAAAACTCTTCTATTAAACACGAAAATAGAATTACAATAGGAGGAACAACTCTCACACTCAACTATTACAAAATACCAACCCTCTCACTAACACTCTCACTCTAAGTGTTATACTATCTGTTTCTCTGTGTTTTTGGGATGCATACAACTGAAGAATGAAGTCTCTATTTATAGTCTTGGCAGCCACCATTGTAGTTGCGTCTATTAATTGTGTTCATCATAGGGTGGGAAGAAAAACTTGTCCCGTAGCTTTCATTTTGTCAACAATGATGGCTACTATAGCTTTGGAGGCTTTGGAGGCTGGAACACAACAAATCTCCCCCTCCAGTCTCCGTCCAACAATCCTCATCCCAACTATGTCAACACATAGTCTGTGTTTCTCTTGTGTCACCACCTTTGTCAACATGTCTGCCTTATACTTCATAGTATTTCCCTTTCCGTCTTTCTTCAGTTTGAAAACCCACTTGTTTTTCAAGGCTTTCTTTCCTTTGGGGAGGTTTACCAACTCATATGTTTGATTCTTCTGCAAAGAATTCATTTCTTCTTCCATGGCCTTCTGCCAATTTGCTTTGTCAATATGAGATTGAGCTTCTTGAAAACTCTCTGGCTCCCCTTCACTAGTAAGAAGGATGTAGTTTGAAGTCGGATATCTTGTTGATGGAGCACGTACTCGTTCGGATCGTCTAACTTGAGTTCCTTCGTTTGCAACTTCTGGCAGTGGATCTGAATTATCCAGGGGTGGAAGCTCCCCCTGCTCAACACTTTCTTGATCTGCATCATCATCGACTTTTCATCCACTTCTTCAGCGGAAACATCTTCTTTATTTTCAGATATTATATCTGAAACTTTGGAGCTTTTGTTGCTTGTTAACCGGTGCCTTGAATCATAATACTGGTTTTCATAGAAACCACATCTCTACTTTGAATAACCTTCTTTAGTTCTGGGTCCCATAGCCTGTACCCAAACTCTTCATCTCCATATCCAATAAAGATGCATGGAGTGGATTTGAGGTCCAACTTCTTCCGCAATTCACTTGATACATGTTCAAACGCTTTGCACCCAAATACTCTCAAGTGAGAATATGATATGTCTTTACCCGTCCATATCTTCTCCGGAACTTCAAAATTCAATGGAGCGGAAGGTGACCTATTTATTTGATAGCAAGATGTCAATACAGCTTCACCCCAGAATGGCTTTGGGAGTTTAGTCATGCTGAGCATGCATCGAACTTTCTCAACAATGGTGCGATTCATCCGTTATGCTACACCATTGTGTTGTGGGGTTCGTGGGACAGTCTTTTGATGTCTGATACCATGTTTCGTGCAGTATTTAGAGAACTCACGGGAATAGTATTCGCCTCCATTATCTGATCGGAGACATTTTAGCTTCTTGCCTGTTTGTCTTTCCACCATTGCATGAAAAGCTTTGAAGCGGTCCAATACTTGGTCCTTTGTTCTCAAACAGTATGCCCATACCTTTCGTGACGCATCGTCAATGAATGTCACAAAATATCGGCTTCCACCAAGAGATTCTACTTCAATGGGTCCACATACGTCGGAGTGGACAAGGCTCAGCAACTCAGAGCGGTTCTTTTTTGTGGAGCTAAATGAAACTCTGTGTTGTTTCCCGAATAGGCAGTATTTACAAGGATCCAAGGCAACATCTTTTGCCATTGAAATGGACTCCTTCTTTGCAAGAGTCGTCAATCCCTTCTCGCTCATGTGGCCTAGTCTTCTATGCCACAAGTTTGGTGATGTCTCTTCTTTAACAACATTGAGACTTGGTTGAAGCAACTTTGCATGACTTTTATAAAGAGTACCATCAAGTTTTCCCCTTGCAACAACCATAACACCTTTCAACAACTTCCAGGTGCCATTTTTCAATTGATTATCATATCCTTGGACGTCAAGAGCTCCAACTGAGATAAGATTCATTCTCAGCTCTGGGACATGCCGAACATCTTTCAACACCAATGTACATCCAACATTGGTCTTTAAATGCACATCACCAATACCAGCAACGCTTGAGAAACTGGTGTTTCCCATCTTCACGGTACCATGGTCTCCGGGTTTATAAGTACTGAATAAATCTCGATTTGGAGTCGAATGATATGATGCAGCGCTTCGTAAGTACTGAATAAATCTCGTATGCTCGGTTATGGACGTACCACTTCGTAACTTGTGGTTTACAAGGCGCCTCATCAGCAAGGTCTTGTTGCGTGCCGTCTTTGCCTGATACATATTCTCGAGCTTCTCCCAAAGTTTGTACGCGTCAGTCTCTTGAGAGACATGATGAAAAACACTGTGGTCGATCCACTGTCGAATTTGTGCCACCGTTTTCCTGTTTATTCTCGTCCAAACTTCGTCTGTCTTCGTGTTGGGTTTGACGCCTTGCTTTTCTATAGGCTCTGCTAAATCTTTCAGATTAAGCAAATCTTCCATCCTTGGCTTCCACATGTTGTAATTTGTGGGCGTAAGTCGAACCATCGTAATCGTACTTGTAGATTCCATCGAAAATAATTGCAAATTTATTTTACAAATATTTCGTTGAAAAATTAGATAAAACCGAGCTCTCGGTTGGATTAGGAAGCTTCAAAAATGGGGGGGGGGTAGAATTTTTCGGGCTCAAAATATACTTTCTTGAAAAGTTATGTGCTAATTTGTAACTTTTCAGAACTATAGGGGCTAAACTGTAATTTTCGGAACTTACAGGGGCCAATCTGAAATATTTCTGCCAACCAGGGATTTTTCTGAAACTTTTCAGAACTCCAGGGACCAAAACAGATGTTTTCAGAAGAACAGGGACACAACTGCAGTTTTTCAGAAACAAAGGGACCTTTCTGCAATTTTCTGGAACTTCAGGGGCTAAACTGCAACTTCCTGAAATTCTGGTCAATGATGACCTCACTGATGACGTCACTCCTTCTTCCCCGGCAGTCTTCTCCGGCCACCTGGTTTTTCCGGCGACTTTTCCGGCGAGATTTGACCAACTTTGACCAACGATTTGAGGGCCTTCTGGTGGTCAAAAAATTACGAAAAATATATTTTCGGAATCCTTGAAACAAGCCCTTTCCAACGGTGTACTCAAAAACGGATTTTGAGACAAATATTTGACGAAAAAACAGAGAAATTTGTAAAGAATTCCTTGGACACCGAACCAAGCTCTGATACCAGTTGGGGTCGGAAAACTCTTCTATTAAACACGAAAATATAATTACAATAGGAGGAGCAACTCTCACACTCAACTATTACAAAAAACCAACCCTCTCACTAACACTCTCACTCTAAGTGTTATACTATCTGTTTCTCTGTGTTTTTGGGATGCATACAACTGAAGAATGAAGTCTCTATTTATAGTCTTGGCAGCCACCATTGTAGTTGCGTCTATTAATTGTGTTCATCATAGGGTGGGAAGAAAAACTTGTCCCGTAGCTTTCATTTTGTCAACAATGATGGCTACTATAGCTTTGGAGGCTGGAATACAACAGGCGCTGGTGACGGTGAGAATGGCAGCCTCGACGGGTAAAGATTGTTTAGCAAGCCAAGTCTTGAAGAGGGTCTCACATTCATTGTATTTGGTCTCTACGTGTTTGAGTGGGTTCTGGTCACCCATCACTAAAAACCCCTTTTTTTTCTTCCCCCATCAATGTTTAATGCTCTCTTGTATGGAAAACTTTACAAGACGGGGATGATAGTTGATCGTTTTCCTTTTAGGTTAAATTGCAGGCGAATACTTGAGGCAGAACATGGGCCAAGCCTACAAAGCCATACGAGCAAGTTATCAATAACTTCTTTTTTTATTATCAACAAAACTGCAAAAATATATATGTTGTATTATTTTTTCATAAGGTATAGTTCAACCCTGGATCCTTTTGAGTTTGTGGTCCTTTAAAATTTGTTTCGTTGCCGATTTGATCTCTCTGTAAATTGAAATGACTATAATACCCTTGGGTATTTATTTTTCATTTTTCTTTTATTTTTCTAAAATCTATTATTTATTTATTTATTTATTTTAATAATTATTTTAAAATTAAAAAAAGAGGGTCTCTCTCTCTCTCTCTCTCTCTCTCCAATGCCCTATCGTTATCGCCGCAACATCATTTCTTTCTCTGTTATGAACCCTAAAAATACGACTACCACATCGATACTTTAATTACATTCTCAGCCCACCATCACCGATGATATCCTTAGCCAGAACAACCCAATTGTGGCCTCTCGTCTCCGCCACCCCTGCACGTCTGGATTCTCGACAACACCCAGATCGCAGCCTCTTATCTCCTCTACTCCTCTATCTCTCTCTCCCATCTCTTTTCTGAAACAGAGTTAACGATGATGAGGGTCAGTGGTAGCCGACAGACGATGGGTTTCAGACGGAAAATATCTGAGCAGATCCGAGTAAATGTAAAAGAAGGGAGAAGTGGCATCGGGGATCGAAAGCAGCAAAGTGTAGATCGGCGGCAATGGAGGACTGAAAATGGTGTGTAATGGCGGTTTGACTTGCCACATGTGTCTCGTTCTTGTTGCTTCATGATTTCACACCTCACCGTCTCTACCACACTTGCTAAAATCAACCAACACCACCACAACCATCATCACCATCCATCGACCATCTACACCCAAATCGATAACACTAGTAAGAAAAAGAAACATGGGGCATCATCTTCACACCTCACCATCTTATCTCTACCCATGTTCTTAATTTTTTTTTCTTTTTTTGTGATCACGTCTGCAACATAATCAAAAGAGAGCTCAATATATGTTTTTATCCTTGTACTTTCAGACCTGAAACTCAAGATTTAAAGGGAAACAAGATCACAACACAGACCTTGTGTGTGTGCTTTTTTTAAGAAACATAAAAAATGGAGTGTGTATGTATATCTTCTTGGTGCCATGGAGTTTTTGAGAGAGAGAGAGAGAGAGAGAGAGAGCCCTTTTTTAATTATTAAAATAGTTATTAAAACAACTAAATAACTATTAGATTTAGAAAAATGAATGAAAACTAAATACCCCAAGGGTATTAAAGTCATTTCAGTTTACGAATGAACCATTTGCACATACAAACTAGGCCAAAACGACCATGAATCCAAAAAAGTCGATGTTTGGACTAAACATCAGAAAAAATCCATACCATAAGGACCATTTTTGCAGTTTGTCTTATTATTATATACATAATATACATACTTAAAACACAACGGGCTTACGAATGGTACTTCTTAAGCTGATTTAAAATGGTTCATCTACACTCTTTACGAATGGTACTTCCTAAGCCGATCGAAAATGGTCCCTCTACACTTTGTCTTCGTCACCACCACGTGTTCTTCTCCCGAGTTCGTTGATATTATAACGTCCTAAACAAGGTATAACTTGAAACCCTTGAAGAATTTACATTTTTGACATAATTGGTCCTTTAAGTATGCTAGGCGTACTTATGTGTACGCTTAGCGTACTATGCATGCGTGATCGCGGGGGAGCTGGACGTACGTTGGGCATACGTGTCGAGGGTGCAAACCCTAAATTGCGGACTTGTGACATATTTAAACGCCCTTAACTCACTTGAGCCTCACCCTCACCAACTTTTTTCACCTTCAAACGTTCCTGTAAGCCCTAATATCCTTTGTGAGTGCATTTTGAGCCTTGAGAGTGAAATTGTGGTCCTTTTAGTGTTCATTTAAGAAGAAGAAGTGGTCAAGCAAGTTTGGGACGGTTTGGTGCTTCAAGAATCTGCATCTTGGTCATCTTGCAAAGCTTTAGGAGGTAAAAAGCTTGCACCTTTCCACTTAAATC